GAAGATAGAAAAGGAACTGAACCAATAACTGAAAATTTTTTGAAATTAGGGCTGTTGATAGAGTGTGAATCAGACTTTAACACTCCAATCCTTCCAGTGAAGAAACCGAATGGGACCTACAGGTTAGTACAAGATTTAAGAGCAGTAAATGAAATAGCCAAAACTATACATCCTGTTGTAGCAAATCCTTATACACTTTTAACTAAATTAAGGGACAATTTGATCTGGTTTACAGTGTTGGATTTAAAAGATGCCTTTTTCTGTCTACCCCTAGCACAGGAAAGCCAAAAGATTTTTGCCTTCGAATGGGAGTCTGTTAACAGAGGGAGCAAAATGCAAATTACATGGATGGTCTTGCCTCAGGGCTTTAAGAATAGTCCCACAATTTTTGGTAATGAGCCAACCAGAGAGCTAGAACTATGGCAACAGCCACCGGGAGAGGGCGTTCTTCTGCAATATGTGGATGATCTCCTAATAGCAACAGAAACAAAAGAGGACTGCATTCAGTGGACAATACCTCTCTTAAAGTTCTTGGGTTTAAGTGGTTATTGAGTCTCTCAACAGAAAACTCAACTGGTCCAGGAGAGAGTCGTGTACCTGGGATATGAAGTATCGGGAGGACAACGATCCCTGGGGATGGCAAGGAAAGAAGCCATCTGCCAGACACCCAGACCAGAAACAGTGACAAGCCTCCGAACCTTCCTAGGAATGACAGGTTGGTGTCGCTTGTGGATATATCAGTATGGGATAATTGCAAAGCCTTTGTATGACCTGCTGAAAGTGAATAAGGATCACATAATCTGGACCCCCAAGGCAGACGAAGCCTTCAAAAGACTGAAGGGAGAACTCAAGAGGGCTCCGGCATTGGGTTTACCTGATGTGACGAAGCCCTTCTGGTTGTTCTCGCACGAGCGTCAAGGAATGGCTTTAGGGGTCCTGGCTCAACAACTGGGGCCACACAAAAGAGCAGTGGCCTACTTCTCCAAACAATTGGATGAAGTAAGCAAAGGATGGCCTATGTGCCTAAGGGCAGTTGCAGCAGTAGTTGTAAACATAGAAGAAGCCAGAAAGCTCAGTATGGGTCAGAAAATGACTGTATTGGTATCCCATACTGTATCTGCAGTGCTGGAACAGAAAGGCAACCATTGGCTGTCACCTTCCCGGTTCCTGAAATACCAGGCAATCCTAGCTGAATCAGATGATGTAACCATTCAGGTAACTAACACTGTCAACCCAGCTTCATTCCTAGAAGGAAAAATCTCAGCGGAACCTGTTGTACACGACTGCTTGGAGACCATTGAGGCAGTGTACTCCAGTCTCCCAGACCTCAAAGAAGAACCACTCCAGGATGCAGATAACTGGTTCTCGGATGGCAGCAGTTTTGTGAAACAGGGCACAAGGATGGCTGGCTACGCGGTAACCACAACAGAACAGGTAATTGAATCCAACCCTTTACCTGCAGAAACTTCAGCCCAGAAAGCAGAACTGATAGCTCTTACCCGAGTTCTTGAACTGGCAAAAGGAAAGCGCATCGACATCTGAACTGACTCTAAATATGCTTTTGCCATTGTACACGCCCACAGAGCGATCTGGAAGGAAAGAGGACTATTGACCACTCAAGGAAAAGCTGTTAAACATGCAGAGGAGATCCTGCGATTGTTAGAAGCCATCCAACTCCCATCGCAGGTGGCTATAATGCATTGCAGGGGACACCTGAAAGGCAACACCGTTCCAGAAATAGGAAACAGAAAAGCTGATGCAGAAGCCAAATTAGCAGCTGCAAGAGGTAATGAACAACCAGTAGCAGCTTAAGTGCAGTGCCAGAAGGATTAGACACAGATCACAGTATCAGGAAACAGATTATCAGTGGATACACAAAAACGGAGGTAAGCTGTTACACAATGGATGGGGTCAATTGAAGACAGGTCAATTAGGATTACCAGAAAAATTAATATGGCAATTTGTGAAAGCAGAATATGACAAAACTCACTGGAGTTTGGATCCACTCTATCAACACTTAAAAACTAGAGTAGCAGGACCAAATTTGTTTACCACAATAAAGCGAGTCACATCCCAATGTGAACTCTGCCTGAAAAATAATCCAAACACCAAACTTAAAATTAATCCAGGGGCAATAAAAAGAGGATGCTTCCCAGGTGAGATTTGACAGATTGACTTTTCTGAACTCCCAAGAAAAGAGGGGTACCGTTATTTATTAGTTTTAACTGACACATCTTCTGGTTGACCAGAGGCATTCCCATGTAGAACAAATAAGTCAAGAGAAGTGGTTAAAGTCTTGTTAAACGAGATTATACCACGATTTGGAGTACCCAAGAGTATCTCTTCAGATAGAGGTTCACACTTTTGTGCATGAATTGTACAAGCAATAAGTGAAGCATTGAAAATTGATTGGCAATTGCATACGCCCTACAGACCACAAGCAAGTGGGCAAGTAGAAAAAATATATAATCTCATTAAACAACAAATTGCTAAAATATGTCAAGAAACAAATCTTTACTGGTACCAAGCTTTACCTATTGCTTTAATCAGGCTAAGGGTCAAGTCGAGATCAAAAGAGAAACTGAGTCAATTTGAAATTCTATTCAGCAGACCCTACATGATGCAAGCTGGGAATAGTGAAACTTTAGATCAAATCGGTAATCAGTATGTGTATGATTATGTTATGGCTATAGGGAAACAATTGCAGAAAAATGCTACGGTGGTGTTAGAACACCAACCCAAACAACCTGATAGTAAATTGCATCCATTCAATCCTGGTGATTGGGTATATGTTAAGAATCTTTCAGGAGAAACACTACGAGAGAAGTGAGATGGACCCTACCAAGTGCTGATGACCACCTTCACAGCGATCGGGGTGAAAGAGAAACCCACGTGGATCCACTACTCTCAAGTCAAGAGGGCTCCAGAGGAAGCATGGATCTCGAGAGAGGAATCATCTACTCTCAAGTCTTCTCAGTGTTGATCTTTGGACTCATAAGTACATTGGTGTTAGATCAAGCCCTTGCCCAGAACTCATTATGGTCTCAGGCCTATAATGGGGTCTCTGGTCTATTATTTTATTTACAACCAGATCTTCCACCTCAGCCAGCCCAAATGAACCAATACAATGCATCTGTTATAGTCCTCCAAGGAACGAGGGTACTGAATAATTGGTAAAATCCTGGTACCCCATATGATGCAAGTGTTGTAATAGGAAAAATTGGAGAATGAACTCGAGTTGGATGCAAAGCGTATAAACCACCCTAGCAGATTAGATGGTCACCCAAAATTGACATTACTGTACGGGACTCTGTGAAAGTATCTCTTACCTACCCATTTGACTACAGAAATGTAATTAGCGGACATGCATGTGATTCTGATCAATGTTGGCACACCTTCACTCTAGATAAATCAGTTTCTGTGATGTGTCAGTGGACATTCAGGGAAGGAAAGTAACAAGGAGATTTATAATTAATGCTTCATCAAGCATTCCAACTACCAAATCTCCTACCACCCCATTGACTAAGACCACCACCAGTTCTACAACTCCTTCTTTAACCTGTGAGAGTGTCCACAATTTAACTTTTGCTGGACCTTACGTAATTAGACAATCAAATGAGCAGAAGCTACTGTTAGATCCCACATATTCACTGAAAAGAGTTAAAATAAACATTCAAGTAAACATATCACACATACAAAAAGACTGTCAGCCCTATATTCAGCAAAGTCTTAAGGGCTGGAATGCCTGGTTTGGCACAGGACTGGGTGTACTAAACACCATAGACCAAGAAGTGTTAGTGAATAAACTAAGTGCCATCACTTCTGATCTGGGAATGCTCAAAGTCCCTTTAAGATCATCTTTGCTCACTGTGGCAGAAACACAATCATTGGCAGTCAGATTGTTGACATTAGTAGCTAACCACACTGCAGAAGATTTTACCAAGATTACCGACTACGCTGGCAGCATCCATAAAAGGTTTGCACTTGCGATTCAATGTCTCCAAACTCAACAATGGGTACAATCTGTAGCTGCAGGAATATTAAGAGAAGGAACTTCAGGAATACTGCCACAAGAGATAAGAGAAATAATAGCTAGAAACAGTTCCACTACACAATTTGAGAAAAATTACCAAGCGTGGTGGCAGTTAGTGAATTTCACTTACAATCCTCAACATGAACAAATTGAAGCTTATGTACTCACTATCAGTGCAGCCAAAGAAAAGGCCATCTTTCCTATCTTGACATTAGGAACCATACACCAAAACATAATTATCAGACCCATAGGCCATAATGTTTGGGCAAGTTACGATCACACCAAGAAAAAGTGGCAGTCAGTCAGTACTGAGGCATGTATTCCTAAAGGACAATTAAGATATATCTGTGAAAATGCTGTAGTAGAAAATGAAGATTTATGCTTAGATACTGAAGATAGTGTGTGTACCTTTGAAATGCTTCCCCATACTAAAACCCAATCACAAGTCTATTACGCAGGAAATGGATGTGCATGTGTTAGAACCTCTTGTGTTAATTTTACCATAGATGCTTGTCATGAAGTAGTAAACGGTACTAGTTTTTGTGTGTGTAATTTTACTCGAATCATAGGCTCTAACTTTGATTATATCATTCCAGTAACTACTAGACAACTGATTGAGGTTGATTATACAATGTATCATGATGTGCCGAAATTGCAGATAGGAATGAACATTAATCTTTTAAAGCAATGCTTAGACATCCTGATATAGAAAAACTGGTCCAGGAAGTGAACAGAACAACTCAGCGAATGCTCTGACAAGTATAACATGACACTGAAAACATAAAAACTGTTTTAACTGAAGTGGAACAAGTGGGAGAGCATCATTGGTGGGACATCTTTACAGGGTACTCCCCTACAGCATCACAAGTGTTTCACTATTTGATACATCCAATATTGGTTTTAGTAGCTGCTATGATTCTGCTATCCCTCTTAAATGCCTGGCTATGGTACAAATTGAGTACCATAGTCAAAAGGATGCAGATAATGTGGGCAGTGATGCATACCTATCAAAACCCATTAGAACTTGACGAAAGAATTCGTAAGTTATAAGTAAAAGGGGGGACTGAAACAGGAGCCAGGCCTAAAAGAGTTAACTGAGATATCTTGGTCTGCTAAGAAACCTCAATACCTGTTTTGCTAGAAGAACATTTTAGGAGCACTGGTTAATATCATGTTCTGTTCTGCTCACTGGACCAAAGGCCTTATCATAGAAAGAATAGGAGTAGTACACACACAGTAATAAATTAGGTAAACTAGATGTTTGAATAAGATCTAGAAGGTCCAGAGCCAGGATTTTGCAAGCTTGAAGAATTCAGGTCACCTAATTGAAGAGGTCAAATTGAGGAAGATGTCCATGGTGACCACCAGAGGGATGAAGGCTTGAGCAGAAGACCCCCACAGTAGAAGACTGTGCATGTCTGGAAAGACTCTGCCCAGAGATTAGCCTACTTATTAATATGTGTAATAAATGATGTAACCATGTATCTAAAGTGTATAAAATGGCTTAGTTTTGCACTTGCAAGTCGAGCAAGTTTGTCCAGCGCGAGCTGGCTTGCTCCCAACGTTGATTAAACAAATACCTTGCTGCTTAAAGATAAAAAAGTCTCTGAGCAGTTTTTCGGGCCAATTTTTTGGATTCATTTGGCGACCTGCGGCAGCACACCTTCTCCACCCGGCTGCGGAATCCCTCGGAGGACGGGACCCCCTTGGGCACCCTCGGGTAAGTCTTTTTACCCGAAGGGGTTCCCTTCTTCGGTGGCTTCTTGCGGGGGCTGTACAAGAACACTGTCTATTGATAAAAGGTATTTGTATCTGGTTTCTGGTTTTGTCTATTCTGGTTCTGGATTCCCATAAGTCGAAGGCAGGGATACGGGAGAGGACGCTCTCCAAGGGGAATATTCCCTCTGGTCTGGTCTGGTTTTGTTTGTATTTGGCCAAATATTGTTTATTTAGAGGGAAACAAGGTTGTCTTGTTTGTTTTCAGAAAAGTTATTGTGTACCTGATATACCTTGCTTACCTTGAAACATCCAGGAGCACATAGTTAAAGGTATTATCATCCTAAGAATTACTATATGAGAGGTAGTGCTGAAGAGTTAACTATAAGCACACCACTTTGGATAAGACCTAGAATTAAGATTTGTCCATTTTGCAACTGTTAGTTATATGTACGAGCCTTGTGTAACAGATGTAAGGTTTGCCTCCCCGACAGACAAGGTTGGGTCAGAACCAGTGTGCATATTGTAGAAAAGAGGGACACTGGAAGTATATAAAATGGCTTAGTTTTGCACTTGCAAGTCGAGCAAGTTTGTCCAGAGTTAGTTGGCTTGCTCCCAGCACTGTCAATAAATACCTTTGCTGCTCAAAGATCAAAAGTCTCTGGGCAGTTTATTATACCAGATTTTTCGGATTCAGAGGGGACTTGGATTTACAACCACTCTAGTTCTGCTCTAAGCAAACCTGTCCATTGTAGCTAGATAATTTATTTTTCCTTCAGTGAGTTCCAAAATGCATCAGACTGTCTGTATAATAACCTCTAACATGAGAAAAAACTTGAAGAAAAAGATGACTTCAAACCTCTTCGTTTCCACTATGGAAGAATCTGATTACTGCTTTGAGTGGACTACATCAAAGATATCTTCAAACCTCCTTCAGGGGAGACCTCATCACTCTCTACAACTACCTGAAAGGAGGTTGTAGCCAGGTGGGTGTCAGTCTCTTCTCCCAGGCAGCTATTAGTAAGACAAGAGGGCATGGTCTTAAGCTCTGCCAGGGGAGGTTTAGGTTGGATATTGTTGCCTGCTCAGCTGGTGCTAAGAAAAAATCCAGGAGCCGTTAATTAGGGTGAGATAAGGAAAGGGTTTAATTGTGCCAAGGCAATTGATGGTACACGACGCGCCCGCAGGCTGTGCCTGAGATGTTACATTTTATAACAATATCTGTCCAATCCCAAGTGTGTCCACCCCGTAACTTTTGGCCTGATCCACCCCCTGGTCCACCCCCTGGAATTGGGTCTGGGGTGCATTTTGAGACCCTCTCTTCATCAACCTTCATCATCTTCGGGGTACAGAGGGCACAGAGTCACCCAGTTCTTGACTCTGTTCTGCGGTTTAGGCCAAGATACAAGCGTTCCCCAAACAGGATAGGCCTTACCTTGACAAGAGACTAAACATTTCTACAGGATATGGGGTAGGATTGATATAGGATACATGGAATGGGGTAAGAGGGTTAAGGAATTTGTAAACTAAAGGGTGCTATAGGGTGGAGGGATAGGGCTGCTGCTTTTAAAATCTACTTCTACTACTTATAAAACTTATAAAGCTTACAAAAATTAGAAAAATAAAAACTAATAGGGGTTTAAGGCATCAATATTAGGAAGAAATTCTTTACAGAGAGGGTAATCAGGCATTGGGTTGGGCTGCCCAGGGCGGTGGTGGATTCACCATCCCTGGAGGTTTTTTAAGATGAGACTGGATGTGGCACTTTGTGCCATGGTCTAGTAACCACGGTGGTGTTGGATCAAGGGTTGGACTTCATGATCTTGGAGGTCCTTTCCAACCCGGCTGATTCTATGATTCTATGATTTGCTATGTCTTTTTCTGCATTTTCTGGAAGTGAGCTAGCTGCTAGAATACTAGTGACAGAAAGGCTATACTTTCTTGAAGGCTATTAGCCTGAGCTGGTTTTTGATTTTCATACTTCCAGGTCAGATAAAGCTGTCTGAAACAATAGTGAGCCATGTAGGCAGGACTTTGCTGCCAATGACATCATACCAGCCCCCAGAGGTTCTGCACCTGTCCAGTGGCAAGAATTCAGGCATTTCCAATGTTATCAGGGATTTGCTGTATCTGCATTTAAATCTAGGTGCCAGATGCTAGAAAACTTACCTGGAACTGCAAGCCTTTCAGTTTTCAAGAGCACAGATGATTCAAGTTTAGAAATGAAAGAACATATCTTCTGGCTGAGGGGACAAAACCTGACAGTTCAACAAGAATTTCTGCAAGAGCAACGAAGGGAGCTGCTGCCTAGGTTAAAAGACAATTGTAGATTAGGCAAACTGTAAAGAACACCATTAGTCCTAGGCAAGTGATTCTTCTTTTAATGTGTTAATTTTGATCCTAATTAACTGAATGCAGCTGCTGCTGGCTTAACTTCTTCCCATAGACAACCTCACTGTGTAATACAGCAGTTTCTGAGCCTGCATACACTGAAACCAGCACAGGCAGAGCTTGTTCAGACTGCCACGCAACAGGCAGAAGAATGCGTGGGCGTAGCTGCCCCTCCTTGTGAAGGGCAGGGGGAACCACACCTCCTCACAGGCTCCAGCCTCTGCCACCAGTGGAACATTTCAGACAGGGTGATCTTTGCGGGGGGGCCTCCTTGGCCTTGCCGACTTAGTGCCTCGTGCTACTCACACAGGCAGCCCAGCAGCCAGAATCTCTATCTCCCTCAGGGTACGTGCAAAACTCCCTATTGTACCTCTACCAGTCATGGCCAGCAACAGGAGCATTGATCTCGAATCACCAGGTGTTCCATTCATGATTTGCTTTTTGATATCTCTCATCAGTGGCATGGCATGAGGGTTATACCCTGCAGTCAGGGCATGAGCTACACATATTTGCCGCAATAAGCTAACACCTTCATCAATTGTGTACCAGGGCCTGAGGGACAACATCAGCTCTGCAGGGTCCACATACACTGTCAAGACTGCGGCACACAGCCATTGGTATGGGGTGAGGGCTAAGACCTCCCAACCATCAAGGCCCTTTAAGTTTCGAAGTCGGAGATACTCCCTCTGAATTCTGTGATCAAAAGCCATGGGAGTCAATAAATCCTCATCAACAACTACTAAGAGAATAGATGGAGCCCCAGTATTCCATGCTCGTAGAAGCCATGCTGCTAAGCTGTTGTGGTTTAGATTTTCTTGATGAATTTTTCCATGCCACCATGCAGTTTTGGAAGGGGTGACTGTGTGTGGAGATGGCGGCATGTGGCAGCCACTGCTAGGGTGCTGACCATGGAGGGCCGGGGGAGGAGCAGCGGGGGGGAAGATGGAGATTTCTGCAAGAACTGAGGTGGGATCCCTGGAATGAAGACTCTGCGAGAACTGGGGGAAATAAAAGGGGCCAGTAGTTTTGCTTTCACTCTCTTGCTCCTGAAACGGAACTCGGGAGGTCCTTGACAGCTGCCGCAGCCTTCCAATTGCTGCCGCCTTGCCGCCACCCCTGTGCCAACTTGCTGCAACAATGGTTGTCGCTTCCTCTTGGCAGCCGCCCTGTCACCATTGTTGTCACTTCTGTGTAGCAGCCACCCTGCCGCTGGGACCACATGACCACGTTGAGACTGCGTTGTTGCCTTGGCAGCACGGAAGTGAAAGAGTGATGTTTGGGTGACATTTTCTCTGTTATTGTTTGGTTATTGGTTTGTTCTGTTTTGTTTTCCATTTTTAGTAAAACTGTTATTTGTTTCTACACTTTACTCGAACGTCTCATAATTTCGAATTTTTGTAATTCAGGAGGGGTTTTCTATTCCATTAGAGGTCCTGACTCCTGGCACACATTGTCAATTAAACCAAGACACAAGCACTCCCCAGCCTTCTGCTGATAAGTGTCTAAGAACTGTCACAACTCCTCCAGGGTGTAAGTCTGTGTGACCTGTACCCCCCCATGCAGCAGATTCTGCTGATCCCCCACCCACAGTAGAGGCCAGGCCGTCACCCACTCAGCAGCTACCTGGTCAGGCTCAAACGCAACCCTGGAGTCCATGGACCCCGTGCGATCACCTCCCGGGACCCCCGGGGGGACCCTTGATAGGGGCAGGAACTTGGGAAGGCAAGACCATACCTGTACCGTTTCAGTTGCCGTGCATCAGTGAGATGGGACACTAAGCATTCCACAACTCGTTACAGCTAACATTGCTGGCTCCAAGCTTTGTGCACGTTTCAGGTCGCTGATCTGCCCTTCCAGGGTTGCTACCTGGTCCTGCAAAACTGCAACCTCCTGGTCAAGAGCTTTAAGTCCAGTGAGCAGAAACCAGTCCGCTCTGCCTGCTAACGTACAGGCAGACTTACGTGCCAA